CCTCTATTGCTCCTCTTATACATTATAATATGCTACCAAGGCTGTGTCACATGAAAGATAACACATCACCTTGACTCGGCGTGAGTCCACAACATTCGCTTTCGGCCTACGGCCCCTCCTAGGGTCACCGATAGCCTTCTTATAACTCTCGCGTTGTCACTCAGGACAGATTCTTCTTCTTGGTTACGTGCCCTTCCTTTGGGTCACTGTAACATATACACGATAACTGATGAGACTTGGCCCCATGCAACAGAGTCTCTCGGCCCACAGCCGAATTATCACCACGAGGCACTGCATTATCCTCGTCCTCGTAATTCCGCCACGCTTGATTCTTGTCGAATCTTGTGGCTAATAACATGTTGGGTACTCTACGCCTTATCCCCACACAATTCGCATAAAGTGAGCACTTCGACTAATGCAAATTCACTTCCTTGATAAGCTACTAAATGTAATCTGTGTTTTCTATGGTAATAGATTCACATCAAAAAACTACATACAACTGTACTTCTTCAATCTTTCAATGTCATAATGTAACTCACTTTCTGGTTTTAAAACAGGTAATTTTGGTTCATACTTTACCACCTCTTCACTTGAGTGGTTTGAACCTTGTCCTTTCTTTAGCGACTCACCTCGCTAATTCTTTTGTCTCTTTTTCTGTAATGGCCAACTCTGCCATATCTTTTTGATGAGCTTTTTCCGCAGCTCTCTTATGTCTAGTCGCTTCTTCATTTTCTGCTTGTCTTGCAGCTTTTTGTTTTTCTGTTACCTCTTTCATCCTAAATTCTGCAAAGCTTAGGATCTCTTCAGGCTTAAGTTCTACTCCTCAGCTATGCTGACAATTTCAGCAAAGGACATTTTGACTGTTACTTATGTCAGTGTGATGGACAGCCATAAAAGACAGTACACGACGTTACGATAACAGTGCTAACTTTTACGAAAACAAGACAACGAGAAAACAAGCTATGTATGACGGTACACTTAAGAAAATAGACCGAAAGCACCAAGGATTAACACAACCGATAACAAACCGTACGTACAGGACTATTAACGCTACCTGACGCAGACAACTAGGTATTCCGGTCTATAAACTAATAGACAGAAATAACTAAAAGACAGCTCCTAAATTATGCAACCTACAAAATGTTACCTAATTAGAAGCGCTCCTCCCAACCTCCCACAAAACAAATATCACACCCAGATGACATCTTAGACGTACCAAACAATTAACGTGGTCAAAGCAATGTAAATACTGCAATAAAACATTACACAATTTACAATTACAGACCTGTCAATGTTGGACGATGAGGTGACAAGTGCAAGATGAAATACACACTAAACGCAGCTCCGGCAGGTCATTCAGCTCCAAGCATAGCTTCCATCTCAGGTTCAGCTCCTGGATAACACGGCTTCAGATCTGGCGACTTGACGATTCTGTGTTCTTCACTTTACGACAAACAGGTTGACATTACAGTTCAAACAGGATCAATAACACATTCTGCGAATCTTCTTTATGTGTTGTTGGCCTCTAAGCGTTGGTTTTGGTACGAAACTGCTCTTGAGTGGAAATGGCTTTCAAACCGTTGAGAATTTGAGACTGCTGAGAGGTTTCTCATTCTTTGTTATGGTTCTCAAGCTGTTGGTTTGGTACCGAATTGTTCTTGAGTGTTTTTGGCTTTCAAACTGTCGTGAGAAGGATGAGATGTTGAGATCTCTCGTTCTTTAGCTTGGCTCCCAAACTGTTGTGGAGGATGAGATGTTGAGAGGTTCTTCGTTCTTTGGCTGGGTTCCCAAACTGTTGGTTGGAGGATGAGATGTTGAGATGTTGAGATGTTGAGAGGTCTCTCGTTCTCCGGCTTTGCCCCCAAACTATTGTGTGCTAAATTGAGTCAGCACACTACCAAGTGTCTAGCAGGTACTCTTCAGCTTCCTTTCTTAACAAGACAACTCGACGACGATGACACCGTCATACAAGTTTATTTAACAGGATACATGACACAAATGCAGAGACGTAGTTATTGATCACAGCTGACATTCGCACATCGTTCATTTGTCCTCACAGCTTTCTAACTCTCAATGTGTAGTGACCTCTCCTGGACTATTGCAGATACCAGGGTGACGGCGTCCCACTCTCTGGACGCGTCGTACAGCTGAACAGGACGACTTCTCCCATTCACTGGACCTTGATATTAATTCAGCATACAACACGGCTGACTGGAGACGGACTTCTCTTGCCGTACTCCGGAACCAGACACTACTGGTCTTCCCGTCCCCTGGACTTACTTTGCCAGCGGGACCATATTTCCCATACCGCAATCCCGACACTTACTCGGACCTAAATGCCCGATAGTCGTACGGTATTCTAGTCGGTTAGACTCCAATGACCGACAGGACTTCTACCATAAGTCCTCTCATACTTTTGACATGTACCGCAATCCCGACACTTACTCGGACCTAAATGCCCGATAGTCGTACGGTATGTTTGTCTGTTAGACTCGAGAGATTACCTGGACCCTGACTTGGTCTCTGACTCTCGTTTTCTCTCTCTTCTCGCTTCTCTCTCTATCTTGACTGCCCCCGAGGGGCTTTAGCCCTCAGGCTACAGCTCACTCTCTGGACTGTCTACGCAGCCCAATTTATATATGTCGAATCCGTGTAAGTGGATGGTGATTACACGAGAGGCACGCTTGTGTGGGCGTTCTCATGAATCATGATCCTGTGGGTGTTGTCGGGACTCGCTCATGTGAGCGTTCCCGAGGATCACGCTTAGGTGGGTGGCTGATGTTACCCGAGAATCACGCTGTCACTTAATTCACACTTTATCTGTTATCCACGCTTTCAGCCCACCACACAGAAACCCACGCGTCCACTTTCTCTCGTGCATGCACGCTTTGTTCATGAATAGACGTTTTCACTGGTCTCCTCTTAATACTCGGATCATATAGACACTCTTTCCTCGTGAACTTACAGGCAGTACAGTCATACCATTGTCCCTTCCCACAATATCACACTTAACCCAAATCAGCGCGCAACAGTGGACCACCATCGTTAGTCTGCAGTTCTACATCTGGTCTATTATCATCATACAATTCCCCTATATACTCTGTTAATTATATTACTATGTCCCATTAATAAGTCACCATCTTTTGATTTCAAACATCCAGTGCTGTTACGTGTCATCTTTCCTGTTAACATATTTATCTGTTGGTACATGGAATGTGAGTCTTTCCTGTGATTTTGCCCAATCTCTGTACACATTTGATTCAGCCAGGCTTCTTTAGCCACTCTGCATTTGTTCACTATTTCTTTTTGTAATCTAGAGTTGGATAGTATACACCTTGAGAAAACCGAAGAACAGTATAACTATAATGTCTCTGCACTGGAACCCACAGGGGCATTTGAATAAAGGAAGACAAAAACACACAACATGCACACACACGCACACGCACACACACACAAACACGCTCGCGTAGAGACAGGAACTATAGAGTTACCCGACATTAGCTGGTTGAGGGCCAAGGCTCCTCTGGGGATTAGAAGGCAGACCACCCGTGTGGGTTCTGGAGCCCCATTGTGGGGAAAACAAGAATAGACCCACTGCCTCCTCAAAAGCATGTCGTAAGAGTCGACTAATTGGGGAGCTTCCTTTGAAGTCGGAGTGCATCTGCCGGAGAGGCAAAGAACCAACAGTCTGTATTCAAGAGAATGAGATCTGTAAAACTGATGCACACGCAACACTCAGGTTCTGGAGCAGGACTGCAGTTCAGTAGTGGACGAGCAACCAGAACTTTCCGCCAGAGTGTACAGCTGGTGAACGCGAAGAAGAAGAAGAAGAAGAAGAAGAAGAAGAAGAAGAAGAAGAAGAAGAAGAAGAAGAAGAAGAAGAAGAAGAAGAAGAAGAAGAAGAAGAAGAAGAAGAAGAAGAAGAAGAAGAAGAAGAAGAAGAAGAAGAAGAAGAAGACAGATAAAGAAGCATATGCGATAGTTTATAAACATTACTGAAGGTGTAAATGTATGTTAGGTATTGTTGTGATTGGTAGCGCACAGCTCACAAACTTCAACATTAAATACATTTTCAACTCGACTTACCAACCTGTGTGTAAAACTTCCCGGAACTAATGCTTATAGTAGATTATGTCCAATATGTATGTGTACATAGATTGAATATGTGTATGTGTGTTTTGTGTGTGTGTATATGTAGATTTTTTGATAATTCGTTTGAATAAAAATAGTTTTTGAAAACATACATTCGACTTACAGCCAGTTCGACTTACCACCTGTTAGTCGTGTCGAGAAAACCATATATTTGCAGCTTCATTTCTTCGACTTCTTCTTGTGCTGCTGTCATTTATCTGATGAAGACGTGATCATTTCTGATTGAAGTTAGAGCTAAGAAAAAGAATGAGAGAGAAGTAGGTGATAGTAGGAGTGGAGGAAGATGAGTAGGACAAGATGAACAAGAAGAAGTGGAGGAGACGGAGTATAGAGAAAGAAAAAAGAAAGAAATGATAATGGTGATAAAAATGAAGATGAAGAGCAGGTGATGAAAAGGAGGAGACGGGCGGGGAAGAGGAAGAAGAAGACGAAAATGAAGATGATGATGATAATGATGATGATAATGATGATGATAATGATGATGATAATGATGATGACGACGATGATGATAAAGTAGATGAGGAGACCATACAATTACCATCGGCTTATCTATGAAGGTGCGGAATCCGTGGCTTGGGCGTTTCGAGTACGACTCGTAATTCCAACGTACCGCGATCGAAACCCACTGCTGGCTGCATGGATTTTTGTCATGGTATGGGGCGACGCAGGTCGACACAGCCTAAAATGGGTACCAGGATGTATGTCCTGGGGAAGTAAAGACGGCTGGTCTAATGCTGACCACATCACCCACCTAGTGCAGATTGGTCTGTAAAAAAAGGGGTGCTCTTCCCATGTGCCTGATGCCCCTAAAGGAGGGAATATGGATCTTTACTTTACTTTCTATAAAGGTATTCCTGGGTCAAAAGTACGGATACCGGCCAATACCTGCGGAGATTTTAGCCTCAGAATTTGACCTTCTCCGAGACTGCACGAAACAGAACCTCGAGGAACTAAAACTTCTGGACACCTGGTACAAGAGAGATGACAACTTCGTGCCCGCTGTCTACGTGCTGCAGCCCATCAGTTCCATCTACAGTAACTTCAACAACAAGGTGAGTTTTAGTGGTTCTCTACATGTTGACTACGTGCTGCAGCCCATCAGTTCCATCTACAGTAACTTCAACAACAAGGTGAGTTTTAGTGGTTTTCTACATGTTGACTACGTGCTGCAGCCCATCAGTTCCATCTACAGTAACTTCAACAACAAGGTGAGTTTTAGTGGTTTTCTACATGTTGACTACGTGCTGCAGCCCATCAGTTCCATCTACAGTAACTTCAACAACAAGGTGACTTTTAATGGTTCTCTACATGTTGACTACGTGCTGCAGCCCATCAGTTCCATCTACAGTAACTTCAACAACAGAGTAACTTTTAGTGGTTCTCTACATGTTGACTACGTGCTGCAGCCCATCAGTTCCATCTACAGTAACTTCAACAAATAGGTGGGTTTTAGTGGTTCTCTACATGTTGACTACGTGCTGCAACCCATCAGTTCCATCTACAGTAACTTCAACAACAAGGTGACTTTTAGTGGTTCTCTACATGTTGTCTATGTGCTGCAACCCATCAGTTCCATCTACAGTAACTTCAACAAGGTGAGTCTTAATCACGGCTCTTCTTTCTTGTCAGTACCCACCAAAAATGTTTGAAAAGAAAGGTGCCGGTACTCATCATGAAGTGTCTATTTCAGTAGCTATTAAAAAAAAAAAAACGTGATGCATACAAAAAAGGTGGTAGTAGTGCCTAAGACCATCGGAAAACACATAATCTTTGAAGCTAAGAAGGAAAATCATTGTTTGGAAGTCGCCACAACCTGAGGGAACTGTACTAAAGGGTCTCGGCATTAGAAAGGTTGACAGCCACAGCTCTAGGTGATTTACTAAATGTTTTATTCAGTTTAATCATTTGAAACTAGGATTCTTCTCCCCTCAGCTTTTGCCCTTACAAAAGTCTGGCATGTTATATTATCGTTTACAGCAGGGATGTTTAACATGCTGGCCAAATCCGTCCCCTGAAAACCTTCAAATGAACCGCGGATCATTGCCAGCTGTATTGTATTAATGAGCTTTCTATGCTTGGGCTCCGGCCACTGGCCCTTGACGATCCTCATTTTCAAGATAGATGTGGCCGCTGAGTATACTTAATTGAATAGCCATGGTTTACAGCGAGTGTGCGATATCTCTGCGATATCTGCGCTCTTTGGCCAAACACATTATTTTTCAGTAATTAATTACTCGAAGTTACAACATTCTTTGAGTGGGCAGCGACTCAGTAATTCTCCCCTTCCCAGGCCTACTCGGGGAGAAATGGAAATGGATCTCTTTTTTTTAAAGACATATAATATATTTCTATATATAGCAGTTTGTTTCAGTATCCAGAAGCCATGAGTTGTTAACCCTTAGGCCCGATATTATGGATATCGTAACCTATCGGCCTTGATTCCATTGTAAATAAAGTAAATCTGGGAGAAATGTGGCTTTTCTGCCTACCCCCGGGATTGAACCCGGACCACAAGGAGTTCGTCACCCGGACTCCGCGCAATCCGGTTTAGCCAACTACGCTAGAGAGCCGGGCATATATAGCAGTAAAAGCAAAGGACCCTTCTTCGCGCCGTAAAGCGTACTGTGCATATTTCCCTGGACCTATATTTTATAGACCAATTGGCTCTCGCTAAATGATCTAGTCAGCATTTCGCAGCCGTTTTTACTTCCCACAACTTTCACTTGGCACCCTTTTAAGACTGGGTCGACTGGACAGCCAAGGTCATTGTTAAAAACAGAAAACAGAAATATCTAGCACCATTTAGATTTGAACCCACAACCTGCAGATCTGCAGGCGAGCGTCTAGCCGCTACACCCCGGGGACTCTGACAGACAGCAGTAGATGCCTGTATTCACTGCAGCGAAGCTTCCTTGTGAAGACAGCACATTTGTGTTTGCTATAAAATATCTGTGACGAAGCCTACGTGTAACGGCTCTGATCGCCAGGTACGCTTTCCATTGGCAAAGAAAAGTGCATTATTTTGCTGTTTATTATTATTATTATTGTTCACTATTTATTACAAATACCCGTCAAACAGGACGGAAAAAAAAAACTTGCTGCATTCCTTTCGATACTCGTGAAGAAACTGTAGCTTGTGAATATACCAGTTACTAGTACTACGATGCTAACTGCGCACTCCCTAATGTTTTACTCCTCGTCACTGTATAGACCACTTCTGTGTCGATTTTAACAGTGGTATGGGTGACGTATAATTATAAGAATGTTGAATGTTGAATTAAAAATTGACCCCATAGCACTCGGGACACTCCCCTAAGCTTTCCGTTCCCATCTTCAGCAGCAAGCGAAGAGTTCCAACTCCGATTGCTTCAGTAAATGTCTGACTGTATATCCGTCTCGCCTTTTCCATGAGTGTTGAGCGTCGGAAGATCTCCTGGTAACTCCACGCAGCGCCATTCTCCTCAGGCTGTAATGATCTATTATAGTTATAAGAATTCTTCCTGCAATTCACATTTCAGAGGCCTCAAGAAAATAGGGATATAGTGACATAATATTACAACTGGATATAGCACATGAAGTTGATAAAAACAAATAAAGTGAGGAAGCACTAATAAATTCATTGCTAGTTGCTTAGTGGTAGGCTCTGGGGCTAAGTCGATGCGAACGCTTCGTAATGCCGGGATGCCGGGGTCGATCCCACCTGCATGTTCCATGCGCCTTGCATTGGTTTCGACAGTGGTATCAAGAAAACCGGCCGTCCAGAAAGCAATGGCAAACTACTGGACGTAAATTTGCCTAGAAAAAACCACACAACAGCCAGGGGCTGTTGGGGTTGGTTCTGTAACGTCCTGTAAAGGATACGCAACTAACCTAGTTGCTTGGTACTGGGTGAGTTATAAGAAACATTCAATTTTTAGTCCGATTAAATGTCGGTCATCTCCTCTGTTGATACAGCGTCACCAACGGCTCATGGGCCACGACCAAGCTGCCTGGTGGGACACGCTGGCCAAACTGACCAGGATTATCCGGAAAGCGGCCCAGGTTTTGCTTATAACAAGGAGAATTAACAGGGAGCAAATGCATAACTTTTTTATGTCAGGTTAGATATCATCATCGTTATCGTCATCATCATCATTATTTTCCTTATCATTATCTTTGTCATTACTAATATCATCATTATTATAATCATGATTATTATTTTCTTTATCATCATCATTATCTTCATTGTCATCATTATCACTATCAACATCATTATCTTTGTCATCATCATCAAAATGATCATCATCATTATCTTGATCATCATCCGAATTGTCATCATCATCATCATCATCACAAGTAACTTCCCTGCATCACTATCACAGTTATTAAAACTATCTGGCTATTTAACATCGTAAAATGGGTCCTTTGCAAAAGGTCGCTCTCAAAACACTTTGCCAAAAAGGAAGTTGGTCTCTCGCCAAATCTCCCACTTCGTGTATCTTTATGCTCGTTGTATCAATTTCATTTCGTGCCCCTCTTCGTTCTGGTCGGCCCCTGCCCCTCTTTATAGGTTTGATCAATAGGCCAGTTTAGCTCCCACCGCGAGCTGCTACCTAAAGATTTGCCATGCCATAATTAGATTTCATGTTTGTTTGTTTTTGTTTTAGTATCCAGAAGCCATGAGTTGTTAACCCTTAGGCTCGGTATTATGGATATCGCAACCTTTCGGCCTTGATTCCATTTTAAATACCGTAAATCTGAGAGAAATGTGGCTTTTCTGCCCACCCCCGGGAGTGAACCCGGACCACAAGGAGTTCGTCACCGTCTCACCGCGCAATCCAGTTTAGCCAACTACGCTAGAGAGACGGGAATAATTAGATTCAAAAAGCTCCGTCTGGATGGCAGTCCAATATGGTGTAACCTGCAGTCACATGCGAGTAAAGACGTCTTTCCAGGTACCATGCCATCTGCTGTTATTCTTTCCAATCCCCATGGCGCTTGATATGACCAAAATATTTCAGTTTCCTAGACAAGATGCTGTTTACAAGCCAATCTTCCTTGATGTTTAGATCTTTTAGGATGTCAGTATTTCTTGTCTTTTTGTTCCACTGTGTTCTGAGAATCTGTCAATAGCATGATCTCACGATTTTAACTTTTGATTTCCTTGCTAATGCTTAATAGACTTGTATAGCCGTTTATCTTTGCATTGCTACGGCCATCCGCCTTTCGAATTCCATTTAACAGTCTCCATTATTGTTTATTGACAGCCTTCGTTTACTACATTTTAGAGGAGGATGAAGATGAAGATGGGAGACGGTAGGGGCTGTCTAGACCCCGAGAATTTGGGGCCGTATGTTTAGTATGGTACCACCATCAAACTGAAGGATATGGGTTATTATTGTTTTCTCTCGGCTTGTGAATCAGAACTGGCCACTTGTTGCCACAGTCCTGGTCACTTGTTGCCACAGTCCTGGCCACTTGTTGCCACTGTCCTGGGCACATGTTGCCACAGTCCTGGCCACTTGTTGCCACAGTCCTGGCCACTTGTTGCCACTGTATTGGCCACTTGTTGCCACAGTCATGGCCACTTGTTGCCACAGTCTTAGCCACTTGTTGCCAGAATCCTAGCCACTTGTTGCCACAGTCCTAGCCACTTGTTGCCACAGTCCTGACCACTAGTTGCCACAGTCCTGGCGACTAGTTGCCACAGTCCTAACCACTAGTTGCCACAGTCCTAGCCACTAGTTGCCACAGTCCTGACCACTAGTTGCCACAGTCGTTTCCACTTGTTGCCACAGTCGTTTCCACTTGTTGCCACAGTCCTGACCACTAGCTGCCACAGTCCTAGCCACTAGACGCCACAGTCTTGGCCACTAGTTGCCACAGTCCTGACCACTTGTTGCCACAGTCGTTTCCACTTGTTGCCACAGTCTTAGCCACTTGTTGCCACAGTCCTAGCCACTTGTTGCCACTGTCTTAGCCACTTGTTGCCACAGTCCTGACCACTAGTTGCCACAGTCCTGACCACTGGTTGCCACAGTCCTAGCCACTTTTTGCCACAGTCCTAGCCACTAATTGCCACAGTCATGACCACTAGTTGCCACAGTCGTTTCCACTTGTTGCCACAGTCCTGACCACTTGTTGCCACAGTCCTAGCCACTAGTTGCCACAGTCCTGACAGCTTGTTGCCACAGTCGTTTCCACTTGTTGCCACAGTCCTGACCACTTGTTGCCACAGTCCTAGCCACTAGTTGCCACAGTCCTAGCCACTAGTTGCCACAGTCCTGACCATTTGTTGCCACAGTCCTAGCCACTAGTTGCCACAGTCCTAGCCACTAGTTGCCAGAGTCCTAGCCACTAGTTGCCACAGTCCTAGCCACTAGTTGCCACAGTCGTTTCCACTTGTTGCCACAGTCCTGACCACTTGTTGCCACAGTCCTGACCACTTGTTGCCACAGTCCTAGCCACTAGTTGCCACAGTCCTGACCACTTGTTTTCACAGTCGTTTCCACTTGTTGCCACAGTCCTGACCACTTGTTGCCACAGTCCTGACCACATGTTGCCACAGTCCTAGCCACTAGTTGCCACAGTCCTGACCACATGTTGCCACAGTCCTAGCCACTAGTTGCCACAGTCCTAGCCACTAGTTGCCCCAGTCCTAGCCACTAGTTGCCACAGTCCTAGCCACTAGTTGCCACAGTCCTAGCCACTAGTTGCCACAGTCTTGGCCGCTTGTTCGCAAGATGACAAACTAAACTGAGTTACTAAATCACATTAAAACACAACTGAAATGTCGATAAACATGTGGCTCTCGTTGTTTGTATTTTCGTGATTCTCATAGCCACTGTTTTTGTTTCCAGTAACCGAACGGGAGGTGGAGCGAGGGATTCTCAAAGCTAGCAATGTGCAGGAACACTGTCTGGCATACATCAGAGAGATTAACAACATGAACACCACTCTCATGCGAGTGGCCAGCAAGTTTGTCGATTTTGCTGCCAGAAAGTATGCACTTCTTATCAATGTTATACACCCCCCCCCACACACACACACACACACACACACACACATATATATATATACACACAGACATGCACATATATATGATATGTATGTATATATATATATATATATATATATATATATATATATATATATATATATATATATATATATATATATACATATCATATATATGTGCATGTCTGTGTGGGTGTGTGTGAGTGTCTTATTTGTGCCAACCCTTAGCTGGTATTTCAAGTTTGTAGTTTATTTGGGTGGAGTGTGAATAATGATTGAAGGATTCGACACGGTTTTAATTGTGACTGTACGAAGGGCAAAAATACATAGCTGCTAAAAGGTACGTAAAATACATAGTCAGCATTTTTTACATTCCAAATCAATGCAATTTAGTGAGTGAAATTGCACACATTGCACACAAGAATGCCTTAGTGTTGAGCGAATCAACTGAACTTCTTGGCGTCTGGGTCACTATAGTTTTTGTTTCTGTTTTTAGACAACTGATAAAAACGCGCCATGGGACAGCTGTGCATTTCTTTCTTTCTTTTGTTGTAGTTGTTGTTACTGTTGTTATTGCTGTTGATGTTGAACTGTATATAAGCCCTACACCGCATATAAGGCCTAGTAAAGATCTGCAGACAGACGAGCGGTTTTCGATCGTCCTTTGAAACACACGACGGACGTACTGAATTATAAAAATGTTGTAGAAGAGAATGATATGACTATCGGAATAAGTATAGATTGTTGTACTGATGACATTGACATATTTTATACTTGAAGAGTTTTTTTTTTTTTTTTGGTACATGGGGGGAAAGAATATATCCCCTGCGAATAACCACTAATGACTGACTGAAGTTCAACTCCACCAGGACTGCAGGACGAGTGATAAAAGCCCTGTGACACAAAGTATCACCATTCGGATGAGAATTAACCCGGCGAAAGTCGCAGAAACCCTGTTCAACCCGTAGGTTATAGTTAGGGCCCACGACGACAGCCTGGTAGAGCTTAAAAAAACTCCGTCCCACACTAGGACGGGAATGATAACACCAATGCGTCTTTTTGAGCAAAAACGAATTTAAGACCCTGTATTGTTTTCGGGAACACACTGCTTTATTCTAACACACCGGCCATTCTTACAGCGTGGACGGAGAGGCCCAAAAGCTGTTGAGAGTGCTACGAGATGAGAAACTGCCTAGAAAGATGCCCGAAAGCAACATCGCCCGGTTCACTGTGGAATGGTGCGGCAGGGAAGGAATAGACGAGGAAACGCACAAGGTTTGCTGACACTTTCTCGATGTTGTATAAATGTGATTAAAGGGGAAATAACCGGTTTACTTCAGTCTCTCTCTCTCTCTCTCTCTCTCTCTCTCTCTCTCTCTCTCTCTCTCTCTCTCTCTCTCTCTCTCTCGCTCAGGCTCTTTGTGTTTTCATATGAATGCTTTGCCCTCTCTGTCCCATTATTGATTCTCACTAGGTGGTCGAACCATCTCAGTCTTTGTTCTTCAGTGGCTTTAGAGAAATGTGTTGTTCCAAAACCAGACTTTAAAAAATGCCCGATGGCTCCCATGTCGATTCAGCCTTAAATGGATGCTTAAGTAACGCCATTCCCATGTTGGATGCAATATTTCGTTATTTTAAGCTCCACTCTGGCTTTTGCCGGGCGCCCTAAATATAACCGGGCCTTAAATATGGCCTGACGGCTGAACGGGGTTTCCGGAACCTCTCCTCGGATGATCCTCCTCCGCATGGCGGCGATTTGTGTCACCAGGTGTTTATCGCTTGTGTGATGTCCTCGTGGGATAAAACTTACCCACCTAACTCAAATGGGTGCCAGGTAAAGTTTTGGGTGTAAAGGCGACCGGCATGATGTTAACCAAATCACCCACCGATGTTTATGAAACATAGCTCTAGCCCTATATGCCCAGTACATATGAGGGTATGGTAGAGGGTCCTTCACTTGACTTTATTGTTGCGAAAGCTGTTCTAATCTCTTTAAGTTTCACCGGACCTCTTCGTCATCATTATCGTCACAATCGGATTGATCAGCATTTAGACTGATTTGGTACTTGTTCTATCGCAGCTTCTTTATTTTATATCTCTTCTATTGAAAGATAGACAGACAGATGGACCGACATACATGCATACAGATATGAAAAGATAAGCACACTGGTACGTAGACAGAATGACAGACGGTAGGCAGATAGTTTGGCAGACACACAGGAAGACATACATTATAGATAAGTAGGTAGGCTTATCCTGAAAGCAGTGGCAAACTACTGGACGTAAATTTGCCTAGAAAAACCACACAACGGCCAGGGGCTGTTGGGGTTGGTTCTGCAACGTCCTGTAAAGGATACGTAACTAACCAGGTGGGCGTATAAGCAGACATATGCACAAACATGCTTATGCAAAGAAACGAACAAATACCATTGACTGAATTTGTCTATAAAGAATTGTGTAAATAATTGTCTATCTAGGATTACTTCCGGACATTCTGCGATCATTTCTACGAAAACGTGATTCGTTTGGTGGACAACGCCATGGCCAAACACGAGAAACTGGCCAACGATCCAATCTACCTGGAGCCACTACAACACCTGCACTCCTGCAGGCGCTACTGTCAGGCCTTCCAGGTGTGTCATCATCATCATCATCAACATCATCGATTTCCACTTCTGCCGTTAAGCGTTGTGAGGTGGAACAGTTTGCGATTCATTACTTGAAGGGCAGCAATTGTTATTGTCATTGTGCCTCGATTTAGAAGCTCTTTAATGTCATCAGTCCATACCTCCTTGGGCGGCCTCTGGATTTAACTTCAGATATTTTCATGTGTAGCGCCTGCATTGTGCTCTGGCTGAATAAATGGCCAAACCATTTCATCTCCTATTTCTCAATGAATTTGCTGCATGGTGTTATTCATGCAGCCTGTCTGATAATTTCATTTCTAAATTTGTCTCGAATAGTTAAGCTGGCAGATTCTCTCGGACGTCTAATTTAATCCATGTGGGCATGATGTGAAATTGAACAAGATTGGCTGACTGATTGATTTAATTACCTAATTACTTGATTGCTTGTGTCACACACGGATCTCACTGCGCTTGTGATTTATTTCTAAATGTTAATGTTAAGTCTGTAGTCAAGGTTGCAACATAACTACGGACGGCGTCACTCCATTCTGCACCGATCATGAGCCACTGGAAATTTCCGAAAATTTTCCTCACTGTCCCTCTTGAAAACAAAAGTATTTTTCTGCCATTCCCAGAAAACCTTGAAGCTTGCATGCGCAAATAGAGAGAGAGAGAGAGAGAGAGAGAGAGAGAGAGAGAGAGAGAGAGAGAGAGAGAGAGAGAGAGAGAGGGGAATGCTAATCCTAGCCTCCGTATAAATTTGGGGCGTATATGGGCTAACCAAGCCCCACCCCGTGATACTGAATAAGTAACATCTTTTCCGTACAGGGACGTGTGTCAATAACCAGAATTTTCCCAGCCAGAATTATAATTGTGTAACGAATTAACCAATCGCTAGGCCATGAGAGTGTTGGAGTTGTGTGGTTGATAATTCATTGAAGACGGTTTACAGTCTGACATGGGACTGTTTACACCATGTTAAAGATCACTGGAAGTTGAGAAGAATGATAGCTCGTGTTGGCCGGCAAGGCACTTGATGACAATAATAGTGATCATGATATCAGTCGGTTATCAGAATCTATATTTCTGTGTTTTGCTCCAGCTTTCAATAGACTGTGTTATAATACAGTTAGCCAGAGCCGTGGGGTAGTAGTAGTTGTTGCAGTAGTTGTGATACTAGTGATGGAAGCAGCAACAACAACAGTAGCAGCAGCAGTAGTAGTAGCAACAGTAGTAGTTATAGTAGTTAGGATTGTAGTGGTAGTAGTAAGTAGTAGTTGTTGTTATTTGAACAGTTGTTGCTGTTGTTGTAGTATTTGTAGTGGTAGTTATGGCAGTAGTAGTAAAAGGACCCCTTTCCGCACCTTCGGTTGTGCTGGGCATATAGGGCTAGACCTATATTTTATAGACCAATCGGCACTTGGTGGGTGATGTGGTCAACACTAGGCCGACCGCTTTTACTTCCCAAGACTATACTTGATATCAACGAAAGGTTGGGGTGAATGGTGGTAGTAGTTGTTATTTCATAAGAAAAAGAAGAAGAAGAAGTAGTGGTAGTAGTAGTGGTAGTAGTAGTAGTAGTAGTAGTAGTAGTAGTAGTAGTAGTAGTAGTAGTAGTAGCAGCAGCAGCAGCAGCAGTAGTAGTAGTAGTAGTAGTAGTAGTAGTAGTAGTAGTAGTAGTAGTAGTAGTAGTAGTAGTAGTAGTAGTAGTAGTAGTAGTAGTGGTGGTGGTGGTGGTGGTGGTGGTGGTGGTAGGAGTGTAGTAGTGGTAGTAGTAATAGTAGTGGTAGTTTTGATAGTAGTGATACTAAATGTTTTTATTTAGTTGGTATTGTTAAAGAAGAAGAAGAAGAAGAAGAAGAAGAAGGAGAAGAAGAAGAAGAAGAAGAAGAAGAAGAAGAAGAAGAAGAAGAAGAAGAAGAAGAAGAAGAAGAAGAAGAAGAAGAAGAAGAAGAAGAAGAAGAAGAAGAAGAAGAAGAAGAAGAAGAAGAAGAAGAAGAAGAAGAAGAAGAAGAAGAAGAAGAAGAAGAAGAAGAAGAAGAAGAAGAAATATAAGCAGAAGAAGAAGAAGAAGAAGAAGAAGAAGAAGAAGAAGAAGAAGAAGAAGAAGAAGAAGAAGAAGAAGAAGAAGAAGAAGAAGAAGAAGAAGAAGAAGAAGAAGTGAAAGAAGTAGTACCAGCAGTAGTAGTAGCAGCAGTAGTAGTAGCAGCAGCAGCAGCAGCAGCAGCCACGCTAGTTCTGGCAGTAGTAGTTTCTGGTATTGTGGTAGTCATAGTGGTTGTGGTGAGTTATGACTGGCATACATAAAGAGTTTTTTTTTTTTCTCCCTTTTCCGCTTTAATGTTTTGTATTTATGTTTTTTAATGACAAGGGTCGGGATAAAATTCTAGAGAAGATACACAAGTACATCACCGGAAATAACCAATTGCCGCTGGTACTCTTTGGTGAGGGAGGCTGTGGGAAAACTTCCGTGATGGCTAAAGCGGCAAGTCAGGTAAGCTGCGTTGCAGGGGTTACATTCACACATTCTCTCCTCTCTCTCTCTCTCTCTCTCTCTCTCTCTCTCTCTCTCTCTCTCTCTCTCTCTCTCTCTCTCTCTCTCTCTCTCTCTCTCTCTCTCTGTGTGTGTGTCTTGCTCTCTTTCTGGTCGTTTTATATTTTTTCCAAACCAAACCTACAAACGTTATAGCCGAATGGTTCCAGAATAGAAAGATGCAACGCGGCGTGTCATGAGTAAAGTGTCATGAAAAAAATGAACATTATTATTAATAGCAACAATTTATGATAGGAAATGGAAACACTATCAATAAAATAGAGAGAGAGAGAGAGAGAGAGAGAGAGAGAGAGAGAGAGAGATAGATAGAGAGAGAGAGAGAAAGAGAGAGAGAGAAAGAGAAAGAGAGAGAGGGAGAGAGAGAGAAAAAAAAAAAGAGAGAGAGAGAGAGAGAGAGAGAGAGAGAGAGAGAGAGAGCATGACGGGAGATAAGGGTAGGCGATGGATAGAGAAATGATGCAGGAAAAAAAAAAAAAAGAAGAAATATGTGTAAGTCTGGTAGCATAATATAGGAAGCTAGAGAAGTCAGTCGTACAAAGCAAACATGTCAATTTAGATGTTAACAAACAAACAAAGCCGAATAAACTAGGGAGAAGCAAAAGCAGAATTAATCTGACTTACGGTGCACAGATACACTAGCTAATCATACAAGTCCTGGGAAACATTATGACATTCGAGAGCAACTCTACCGGTATCACTGCTATTTACCTGCTAAAAAATAATGTGCTCGAATCCTCTTCGGGGCAGATTTTTAATGTGACATTAGCCTCAAGTCGATTTAACCCAGGCTTTCCTGTGTAGGAAAGTCGCCTTGGCATTGGCGGCTAGACACCCGCCTGCTGATCGGAAGGTCGCGGGTTCGCGTCCTGGCGGAGCCGTACTTTTTTTTCCAGATATTACCTAAACTCCCAGGTCGACCCAGCCTTGAGTGGATACAAGGTGCAGTCCTGGGAAGTAAAGGCGGCCGGACTGATGCTGACCACATCAACCACCAATTGCCGTTTGGTCTATACAAATATAGGTCTAGTCGTAAATTCTCAATAAGCCTAAAGGCGTGAAAAGGGTCCTTTACTTTTTTACTTATTTCCGGTGTAGTATACAGATAGTCCACGTGATAGTGACGACATCAAGCGTTGAATGTCGATTGGTCCATATATGTCCAAAAAGCCTAAAATAAGGGACACTGAAGAACTACTCTTCATTCTCTTACATTTATTTGACATTACTTAACCATTACATTTACTTTACATTCTGCTCTTAATCAAGTTTTCCTTGAATATGTATGTCGCAGGTTGTTTCTTCCTGGTACGCCACGCCTGTTGTAATGGTGCTGAGGTTCTTGGGAACAACACCAGGCAGCTCAACCATCATCCCTCTTCTGACTTCCTACTGCCAGCAGTTGAGTCTCATGTACGAACAACCCGTCGAGGACATTCCAAACCAACTGGCTCCATTACAGCAGCGCTTTAAACAACTCATCACTTTGGCCACCAAGGAGAAACCATTAGTGCTTATATTTGATTCCCTTGACCAGCTGTCTGGGTCTGGCGGAGCCCATAATCTCACTTGGATACCTGTGAAACTGCCTCCACATGTGAAGGTTGTAATATCAGTTATACCAAATTACTACGGGCTGCTTGAACTCTTGAGAACGATGGTTGAGGAAGAGGATTCATTTGTTGAAGTTCTTCCACTTGGCGAAAATCTTGGAAGTTCTATCATAAAAACATGGTTACAGAATTCAAATAGATCAGTGACAAGCGAGCAGTGGGTCAAGGTGAATGATGCCGTACACAGGTGCAGTTTACCGCTGTTTGTGAAGTTAACATTCGATGAAATCTGCAGATGGCGGTCCTATACCAAACCCAGCTTGACAACATTGGCCTTTACAATCAACGACTGCATTATGCTCCTTCTGGAGAGAATAGAGCTGCAGCACGGGAAGACGCTGGTTAGCCATGCTTTGAGTTACATCACGTCATCTAAGAGTGGAATCTCCGAGCCGGAACTCGAGGACCTCATATCGCTTGATGATCTAGTACTTAACGATATTTACCAATACCATCTGCCACCGGTCCGAAGAATTCCACCGCTGCTGTGGACACGGATTAGAAATGACTTACCCGGATATCTCAGCGAGAGAGAAGCAGATGGGGTTAGTGTTGTGGGCTGGTATCATAGACAGTTTATTGATGCAGCCAAGGAAAGGTACTTCAAAAATCTCTTTTTTGTTAAAGAGCTGCATTCGAATATGGCGGAGTATTTCCTGGGAACATATGGCGGTGGAATACCAAAACCGTTTGAGTACTCTGAGCTTCAGAGACAACGGTTTCATTTGGAGGACAAGAAAAGTTCCGCTGATAGAAAAGTACCACCACAACCTGTTGAATTCACAGATTCTCAGGGCAGAGTGATCCGTTATAATTTACGTAAGCTCAATGAAATGCCCTGGCACCTGGTGAGGTCAGAACGTTACCAGGACTTATATGAGAAAGTACTGTTCAACTACGAATGGCTGCATGCAAAACTGTCTTCCATGCCACTCCAATCTGTAGTCGCAGACTACGAAGACCTTCTCACTCACGCCTACGACAAGGATGTGCGTATAATTGCTGACGCCATTCTACTGTCCAGCTCAATTCTTGGCCACTACCCAGACATGCTTGGTCCACAAATCACAGGTCGTCTTCTGCCTTACTACAACCAAAACCCCAAGATCAGGGAGCTCATCCAGCAGTGCGACACGGATGGTTTGCGTCACTGTGCCCTCGTTCCAGCATATCATTGTCTACACACACCGAGCGGCCCTCTCCAGTATTCTTTAGAAGGCCATCAGTTTGCTCCTTTCGGAATAGGCACATCACCAGGTGGGAAACACCTTGTGTCTGTTTCAAATAAAATCATCATGTGGGATCTGTCCACTGGAGAAATTTCCAGAAATATTTCACCCGGAATTGAAGGAATTATGCAGAATTTAAATATTTCCGAAAACGGAAAGTTCTCTGTGAGTTACACAAACAACAACAGGGTCCTAATCTGCTCCCTAAACACTGGAGACTTCAAAATTATCTCCCCCAAACTTTCACACACCTCTAGCACAGTCAAAGGCACCAGTGTTTCAAACACACACATCGCCGTATGGACGGACAAATCATGGATGTTGTTCAAACAAGACGGTAGTTTTGTCAGTGAGTATACATCGGAACTGAAAATGCCCATCATCAGTGTGGAACTCGACAATGACGTCAACGGAATTCACTTTATCATCATGAAAAGTGAGGAGACGGCCTCTGAGATGGCATTGGAGGCTCACGATAAGTCTATCAGAGCATTTGAATTCCACAGCGCAATTGCTATCAATAAAACTAGAACTGTCTTGTACGCGTGCATTGAAATCAGTGACAACGCTGTCGTCTGCTACGTACGTCAAGGCAGCTTGTGGAGATACCAGAAAACTATTTCCGAAAACGCAGATAATATATTCTCTTTGTTTCTTTCCGATGATCAGAACTATCTGATTGGCACGGCTACACAGAGTTACAAGCTGTATGATTTGCAGACGGACACAATGCAGGAGCTGCATCTTCCACAAGGGACCAGGAATATTCCAACAAAAAATCTGCTTACAGGCTTAATGGTTTTGACAAAGAACAATCAGTTTGTGGTAGCAGCCGTGAGGAAGAACTTGTATGTCTGGGATGTCAAACAAGGAAACTTGGTAAAAGTTCTCGATGCCCACTTTGGTAGGATCTGCGCACTTATATCCGTGTCATCAGACAGCAACACAGTGATATCTTCCTCCATGGACAAAACCATCAAAGTCTGGAACTTTGACAAAATTTTGGAGGACGTCCACACAATTGACAGACTCGAACGTCCCATCCAGACCGTTTCTCTGGCCAGTGATTCTCATTTGTGTGCAAGCACAACCAGAAACACTGTAGACATCTGGAACTTGGACACGGGAAAACTGGTCAAGACATTTATCAGTGGTGCTCGAAGCGCTATTGTTTCCAACGCAGTTATCACAGCCAATGGGGAATACGTCATTAGCGCCGAATCGCCAAAACTTCTCGTCTGGCTCGTTTCAAAAAGCACACCAGTATCGGAGACTTCAGTGGGAGATATTCAGCATATAATTATGTGTGAAAACGACACGAAAGCTATAGTCAATACGCTCATGTCTATTGACAAGGCTCAGTGTATGTGTGTAACTATTCCAGGGTGTCACGTGGAATACGTTTTTGAATACGCCATTAAGAAATATCGCCAACCTGTCCTGACAAAAGAAGGTTTCTTTTTAGCCGTCCCGACACATGACAAAAGTGGAGATGTTGTAGGTGTATACCATGGGAGAACCGGTGTCCGTTTATACAGCCTCCAACTCAAGTATCACAATTATACAGACTACAGTCATCTTGTAGCAATGCCGCACGACTCCAACCTGATCGCTGTGATTGACGGTGATAAAGGCAACATTTTAGACTTGAGAAAGAAGGCTCTCGTTCGTTCAGTGCCAAGATGGAACGGCCAAGTAATGCAAGATGGAAAGATCGGCATGTATGCACCTGCCACTGGTGGGCTAGAACTGATCAACTTAAGAAATGGTAAGACAACGAAGACCCTCATCCCCAAGGTTGCCGAAGGCGTGTTTCAAGTGACGACGTTTTTCACCCAGAGCAACAAACACGTGATCTACTACCACTCCAGACATCAAACAATCCGGGTATTTCGGGTCTCAGACGGAAAGATGATAGCCAACTACAAAGCCAGCGCAGAAGTCAAGTCCATTGTTGGAAACGAGCAAGGCACGTGCATTGTAATCGGCTGTCTGGACGGTACGTTGACCATGCTGGCCATTGCCGATCCCGAAGACGAGTTTCATCAAAATCTTCTTTGGTCTCTCCCCAGCAGAAATCTGACAACGTCACATGACTTGACCACTTTTGCTGACATACTGAATGCCAAAAACGTCATGGGCACTGCTTTACAAGTGGTCAGATTCGTTGCTAAGGCCAGAGGGATGCAACAATCTTCATCTTGCGCTATATCTTAGCTCTACAGCACAAGGTCGTCGGTTCGGGTCCTGACAAGGTCTCGACCCAGCCTTGATGAGGTACCAGGTAAAGTTATAGAAAGTAAAGGCAGGCGGCGTGATGCCGACCATATTACCCATCTAGTGCCGAACATAGGTCTAGCAATACGCATAAAAGTGTGGAAACGGGTTCTTTAATTTTACTTAGAGAACACAAATAGCTCCTGGTAATAAACTGATGGATTCTTTTCTTTGATTTTATCTATCTCGGGCATTCTGATTTAGCAGGAAATTCCGGGGGAAATCCCTAAGAAATCTCGGAGTCCCCAACATGGGGTTCCTGTACTGACCAGATAGCCACATTACGTATTATAATAGAGCAAAGCATTGAACTGAACTCACCACTTTACATTGGATTTATAGACTATGAAAAAGCATTTGACAGCATTGGTAGGGAATCTCTCTGGAAATTGATGGGGCACTATGGAATCCCACAGAAAATTATCAACTAAGTAAAGGCAACATACAAAGACATGAAATGTCGAGTTCTTCATGAGGGTAAGCTAACAGATGCATTTGAAATAAAAACAGGTGTGCGACAGGGATGTCTTTTGTCGCCTCTCTTATTTTTACTGGCTATAGACCGGACTATGAAAAAAGTAACTGCTAACACCAAGAATGGAATTCAGTGGACCCCTACAAAACAGCTTGATGATCTGGACTTCGCTGATGATATTGCTCTTCTGTCCCATTCACGGAATCAGATGCAAGATAAATTAAATAAACTTAATTCGAGATCACAGTAGCTTGGTCTGAAAATACATAAAGGAAAGACAAAGATAATGAGAATAAATCAGGCAAATAGTAATGTTGTTTCTCTTAATGGCACCCCACTCCAAGACGTGGAGTCGTACACCTATTTAGGCAGTAATGTAGATAAAGATGGAGGAACTGATAGAGATATTAAAATAAGAACACAAAAGGCAAGAGGAGCTTCATGGCACTAGGAAATTTGTGGAGGTCAAAAGAAATTAAAAGAACTACTAAACTAAAAAATTTTAATTCTTATGTCAAATCAGTACTATTGTATGGGGCGGAAACATGGAGAACAACCAAGACAATTACTAATAAATTACAGACATTCATTAACTGGTGCCTGCGCAGAATAGAGGGAATAAAATGGTATGATAGAATAACTAATGTAGAACTTTGGGAGAGAACTAAACAGGCTCCAATGGATCAGGAGGTGAGGAAAAGACGCTGGCGTTGGATAGGGCACACACTGAGAAAACAGGAGAACGGCATAACTAGAATGTCTTTGCATTGGAATCCACAGGGGCATAGGAATAAAGGAAGGCCAAAAACACACTGAGAAGAGAGCTGGAGAATGAAGCTAGAAAGATTGGGAGGACATGGGGAGAGCTCCATGCAATGGCGAAGGATAGAACGACTTGGGGTGAGTTGGTTGAGGGCCTATGCTCCATTGGGGGATAGAAAGGCAGTAGAAGAAGAACATGGGGTGGGGTTCTTTTTTTACGAAGTTCAGCCCAAATACACACTGGCTGACCTTTCATTAATGCTTGCTCAGGCGTCTATGTTACAGGGGTGTCCCGATGTTTTGTCTTCGCAAAGCTTTCTGCATTGTGTGTTACTGGTTGTTGTGAGCAGCGGCCGGCGACGTAGCCTTTATTATAGCTTTCTCGAACTTGAAGTACGACATGAATGTACTCACCATAAAATGTTGTAACAGTTCTGAATCCACGGGTCGTACGCTACACTCTCTCGTGGGACGTAGGTTGAGGCTGTGAGGTTGATGTTAGGGCCAGTTCTAGATATAGGGTCGCTAAAAGCGGTCACATTGTGTAATACAGTACACGCGTCATCGCCCGTGATAGCACCGGAAAATATGCAGCGTGACACTCCTGTAACATAGATTAGCCTGACCAAGCATGAATGAAAGGTGACCAGTGTGTATTTGGGCCAGACTTAGTAATAAGAACCTGAGGTGAAATAAAAGGAAAGAACCAACTGTTGCATCACAATAATCACCTAATAATAAACTGATGCATCATCATCATCTTCATCGTTACATGCCGTTAAGATAGAATGTTCTGATAATTATATAACAGATTGTTATATCTTATGAAAAGACACATCACTGTCAAAATGATTATGTTCAAGCTCTATTAAGATAAATTTTTGAAAGAAATCTGATAGAGCCGGAGAATATGATTGGTGCTAAAGTAATTGAATGTTCAGTTCATTGGTCTGTATCTTTGCAAGCCATGTTTTGGGAGAAGTATATTGTCTTGAAGCGAAATCAGATTTTGAGTGTTTTCTGGTGACAGGCTTGTCTTGTTTGGCAACGAGGCTTGCATAGTACTGCCCACTAACAGTTAATAGTGCGATAGGTAGTGATTTGTCAGGTAACCACCTGAGTCATATAGGATAAAACTCGGTGCAGAAAAATCCATAATCCATAGGTAGAATTTATACAAAGATCCGGAGATATTTATTGTAAGTAATCTACAATTACCACAAGGTGCACGCACTTCAACAAAAATCATAGACCTATTTAACACACACAGACACACCTACTCATATACACATAGAAAGAAGAGAGAGAGAGAAAGAGAGAGAGAGAGAGAGAGAGAGAGAGAAATAGGGAGACAGAAAGAGAGAGAGAGGTGGGGAAGGGGGGGGGGAGGCAGACAGAATGTCTGCTCAATTTATCAGGCTATGCTTGCCGAACAGACCTTGGACACAACTGACTGTTGTTCAGTCCTGCGATAGAGAGCTGGGGTCGAGAGATGTAAGAGCGACACAAGCATCCTCAGAGCAGGAGGTTATGTCTCTGCGTAATCAATATGAAGTTTGACGTATTGAATTCTAGTATATTGATCAATATGCAAATCTGTTTGATTCCATTTTACAACTGTTTGATTATACTCTGCAGTGTAATCAATATCAATAGTTTGATTCGATTTCCCATGTAATTGATTTCAACAGTTTGACTGGATAGACTATTTATTTGACGTATGCAACTTTAGGGCTGCCATAATAACTTAACAGACACCGTCTACGATCGAGCACAAATTTCTGTTCCTGTGATTTACGCCACAATAACTCATTCCACTCGAGGTGCACATTACACGATGAACACATTTTATATGACCACAATAGTTGGCACCAGTCGGCACTGTGGAAGTATCCAAATGGACAGATGTGGCATGAGTAGAGATACCAAGCACCAGAACGTGAACGTTACATGGACGCAAGTGGATATACTGTTCGGGGCACGCAGACGTTTCGAGGGAATGAAAGGGCATAACCACGTTCAGCCATATTTAGGGCCCCCGACAAAATCAGGGGTGGGGCTTCAAAGTAAATAAAAATTGCATCCTAAAAGAGTACGATGCTGATTTATAAGCCAGTGTTACACATAGCTCATGTTTATTAAATACTCCGTTTATATCAGTCCTATAAATATAAATCCCAAACCCTTTCTGTATTTCCTGTGTTTAAATTTAAATTAAGTGTTAATTCCTCCCAAACCGTGACCAATACACGGGTTACATCTTCATTTGCCATTATGACTACAATGTTTTATTCAAGTCACATGGGCGGCCCAGGTTACTGTGCATTTTTTAAAAATTTTTTTAATTGTGACAATCAGTAAAAGTAAACATTCCTTTGAATTTTTTTTACCCCTCTTACATCCCTTATATTAATTTTTTTTTTAAATCTCTTTTTATTGGTATCTTTGTTAAAACATATTTGGGGGTGCCAACATGCTGAATTATAACCCTGAGTCACTGCCCCAACACTAGGAATCGACGCTAAGGTAGAGGTATTAATCAAGTAACAGAAAGTGTATTGATCGGTTTATTTATAAGGTAGCGGTAGTGCTAAGAAGGGGAAGAACCGGTCTAGGACTCTCCTACCACTTCACCACGTGGAGCCACTTGGAGTCAGCGCTCACACCCTGTAAAAATGTATATGCTACAGCAAATTCACAGAACCACCAGACGTACTGAAATTGGACATTGGGGCTTTATGAATCAAGAGCGTCCATGAGAGACCCAAAGACAGAATGTTCACCTCGTCCTAGCTCCTCCGTGGAGTTTATATATTTCGGGGGGAGGAAAGGGGGGGGGGGGGGGGGGGGGGGGGGGAGTTTAAACATGTGAATAAAAGCATTTAAAACAAATTATTAGTGACCTGTGTGAAAATGTGATTTAGAATTGGTTCCGTGCAAACTTTTCTCTTATGATTTTATCTTGTTTTTTAGGGTGCCCGGCTCTCTAGCGTAGTTGGTTAAACCTGACTTTCGCGGCGGCCGGGTGACGAACTCCTTGTGGTCTGGGTTCACTCCCGGGGGTAGGCAGAAAAACCATTTCTCCCAGATTAACGGTACCTATAATAATTTAAGCCGAAGGGTTGCGATATCAATAGTACCGAGCCAAAGGGTTTACAACTCGTTGTTTCTGGATACTTAAAAAAAATCTTTTCTGGTCGCTGCTGCAGCCCTTCTCAAAAATCGCATTTCTGTGTGTACTCATTTTCTTTTTCTTGCGAGTGCCGTGCCTGGCACTAGTAGCATTTAGCGGGAATGAATATACTTTGTATGAGATGTTTCTTGCTTTTATTTTCTCACTACAAGTACTGGGAAATCGCCAGCCTGCGGATCAGGTACTGGGGAATCGTCAGCCTGCGGATCAGGTACTGGGGAATCGTCAGCCTGCGGATCAGGTACTGGGGAATCGTCAGCCTGCGGATCAGGTACTGGGGAATCGTCAGCCTGCGGATCAGGTACTGGGGAATCGTCAGCCTGCGGATCAGGTACTGTGGAATCATCAGCCTGCGGATCAGGTATTGGGGAATCGTCAGCCTGCGGATCAGGTACTGGGAAATCGTCAGCCTGCGGATCAGGTACTGGGGAATCGTCAGCCTGCGGATCAGATACTGGGGAATCGTCAGCCTGCGGATCAGGTACTGGGGAATCGTCAGCCTGCGGATCA